GAGCACATGTAATATGATGCCCTTTATGTTAAGTTCACTACGCAATCGTCTTCAAACATCTCAAAATTGAGAAGCTGCAAAGTTTGTAATGATCTCAAAAATAGAGAGCTTATTGCGTAATCCAGTCATCATAAATTACCCTTTCGTCAATTCTGTCATCGATAGTCCTATAGACTTGCTCAAAAAGGACAGGTACAGGTAAAATTTTTTGTCTGAGCTTTGAAGTAGCCAGTAGAAGTTTCCTGAAAAGGAAAAAATTGAACCACTATGCAATACCGCGCATATCTTCAAAAAACGTGACTTCACATAAAAATCCGTCGCAAGCGTCGCATTGTCATAACTTCTTTCAAAATAGATATCTTTCAAAAGGAAAAACCGTCCTAGACTCAGCATGTCAAGGCAAATCTTAAGGTAGACCACACTACAGTAACATCTAAGGTGTACGGTAGATACATTAAATCAATATTGCAAATCCGTCTAAATCTTGCGTAGAGGGATTACATAACACCCCCACGCGAAGTTAGAGACGGATTTACGATATTTCCTACCGTATCTACCGTACACCTTAGATGTAGTGTAATATGGCATACCTTGAGATTCTTTTGCGAAATAAGTCTAACACTGAATTTCCTTTTGAAATATATCTATTTTGAAAGAAGTGACGATGCGGCTTGTGACGGATTTTTACTTAAAATCACGTTTTTTTTGCAGAAGTTACGAGCGGTACTGTATGCTTTTAAGTGAACTTACACTTTGAAAATATTAAGGGTCTCAAACATTGCTGGATTCATTCATTATAATCATGAAATATTGTGATTTAATTACTTATATGTAGAAATAATGATAAATTATGATTAATGATTCACTTATTCCTACTTCATATTAGTGAAACGTGTAAAATTTGCAGTCACCTTAGCATTGGTCCAAGGCACGGAACTGTATTGGCCAGATAGAAAATAGGTTGCCGAAAACTTCGTTGAAAAATCTTCATTGAAAGGATTTCTGTGGTAATTAAATAACTTATACTATAATTTGAACTTACTTTATCAACGCGAGTCATTTTGTCATCCTGGAACATTTTTGAGCCCTGCTGACCCAGCGCAATTCGATAAATTACATCTATTGCAAACTCTTTGTAGTAACTAAACATCATTATGAGTTTCTCTGCGAAAATTGCTTGAACAGCTTACTTTAAAATATCGAATGCCTCTTGATTGGCCTTTTCATCAAGCAGCTTAATGAGAGCAAAGACCGAGTCTTCCACTGTTGGTCGTATCTGGGACAGATCAAGCATGGTAAGAAAAAAAGACTGAAGTACTTGCAAGGCAACAGTCATTTCATTATCTTCTGGTTTCTGGAGACTGACATATAACTAGCAATTGACTTGCTTTCTTCAGCGATCCAGCCGAGAAGGCAGGCGTCGAAATAGCCCGCAGCCGCTTCCATCTTATTCCTTGTGATTCAAAGAGAGAGATTCTAGAATCCTTTTCAACATCTCCAGTAAAAACGCTGTTCTAAACGATATTATAGGGATTTTTTCCTGTAAAAGCAACAATAAGCTCATACAAAGTTCATTAATCATGCTGTCTCTGTGCAACTAAAAAAAGTATATAGTAGACTTTGTACCTAGCCTTTTTTCCAAACTTGCTCATCTTCTTTCCTGATATTAAGCCAAAAGTACGTTGGAATAGTTTTTTCAAACGCAAAAACTTACTTTGCGACCATGAAAGTACTCGAACTTTTGCATGAACAACTCTCGTATCATATTGATGTCACTAATAACCAATGTCTTTCGAAGTCCTTCTTGGATACCGTACACCTTTCCGTACTCCTAAAAATGC